AGATGGCTCTGCAGAGATGTGCCCTACTGAGGCAAGTTGGCTACACCTAGGAGATGTGATAGAAATATATGATGAATGTTTAAATTTTTAAAACATTTTTGCAGTACAAGACACACTGCCATGAATCGCCCCTCAAATCCTCCCCCTTGCTTTGAACACACTTTTCCCATGGTTCTTGCCACTTTCTGAAGCAGTTCTGGAGTCCTGTCCTCTCTTGTGAGTGTCTTTACACGGTGTGATCAAAAATATGGTGAATGCTGCTGCCAGTGCCATCCAACAGAAAGGTGGGCTCCTGTGAACATGAAGATATGCTCATCCACCTCATACACTGGATCTGGCACTGTGCAACTTCTGGCTCTTCCTCAAAGTTGAAATGACCACGAAAGGGAAACATTTTGAGTCAATTCAGGATATCAAGGCAGCCAGGACAGCATAACTAAAGACAGGGAAAAGGACATCCAGAACTGCTGCAGAAAGTGGCAAGAACAATGGAATAAGAGCGTTCTGAGAGGGAATTTTTTTTTATGGTAACGGGGATTGAACTCTGGACCTTGTGCTTGCAAGGCAGGCACGGTGCCCTTGAGCTAAATCCCCGGCCCGAGAAGGAATATTTTGAGGGGATTCATGATGGTGTGTCTTTTAATGCCTCAAATCACCGTCTCCCCATGTACAGGTGGGCCAGGGTCTTTTATAGTAAGGAATAGAGAGGAGGCGAGTACAGAGAGACCTTCACACTTGCCCTCTCACCTTCAGCCCTCCTCACCTCATTGTCCCTTCTTGTGAAGAGCAAACTGGGCTCCAGCTTCCTGGGGCCAGAATCTATATATTCTGTCACACCCTCCAGGCTGAGGAGAGGAGGGGGTGTTAGTTATATGCTCAGCAGGAGAAAGTTTGGAGATATATCTCTACAAGAAAAAAAATCTAATTTTTAAAGTTCTATTTTGCAGTGCGGATTATACTTAGAGTAGTAAAAGTCACACGGAAAGTGGAATGGTACACACCTGGGATGGTGGGGAGGGGACTAGGGAGGGTCTGTTCAATATGTTCATATAGTTTTAGTTTTGCAAGATAAAGTGTTCTGTATCCAGTTACAAAATAAACTAGAATTCTGGAGATAGACAGCTGTGGTAGTAACATTTCCAGTGTATTTAATACCACTGAACTGCATATGTAAAAATGGTTCAAATGTTAAATTTCATGTTATGTGTATTTTACCACAATGAAGATGAAATAAATCTGTGTTTTATTTATTTTCTAATTTGACCATTCTCACCATTTTAAAATTGCATTTTCTTCTCTAGTTCAGTACTCCCACCTTTATAGGGAAAAGCAAAACTTCCCACAGACATGAGTGAGTCTCCAGTGTGGCTGCTCTAGAAAGCAGCAATGAGACTTTTAGTCTGTCATTACAGGATTGAGAAAGAAAGAAATAGGTGATAAAAGCACAGCCGAGTTCTTCTTAACAGCTAATCTTAGGCATGGTGTGGCTTTCACTCTAAGCTTATGAATATCTACAATGAAAAGCTACCTCTTTTTTATCTCCCACTTTATCCTTATTTTGGTCATTTACAAGGAAGTTCATCTCACTGTCTGCTATTGGGGGATCATTCTCTGTCCCCTCCCCCCTGGGTACATTTACCATCTCTCAAATCTCCCACTTTTCTTGTGCTCCCTAGAATCAACCATACATGAGACTGAACACCTACTTCATGTCTAATTGTGTTGTGAAAACCCTCTCCTTTCCCACACTTAGTTTGACAGTGGCATCGGTATGAAATTTAAAAGTGAATCAATGTAGGTCTGTGTGAGGTGAGCGCTCAATTTTTTTTTTTTTTTTTTTTTGGTACTGGGAATCAAATTCAGGTCCTTGCGCTTGCACAGCAGGCAGCGAAACCACTGAGCTAAATCCCCAGCCCCAATTTTTTAACTGATTAAAATTTGGAGACCAGGATCTACATATAAAAGTTTTCTTCCAGGGAAGGACCCTTGCTTCCTCCGTTGACTATACTCCCTTGGCTTATTGAAACAATGTCAATCGGTAAAATCTGGTTGGAGATAACGATGTTGAGAAGCACAAATCAGGATGAGAGGCTCTTTATGGCAGAACTGCTATCTATGTAAATGATATAGGAGAAAATATAACTCCCAACCTGCTAGGTATGCTGAGTTTGTGTCCCTTGAATCGAAGAATGAATTCCAAAGAACCAAGGAGGTTACAAGTAGGAAAGGTTTATTGGGGAATGAGAATAGCTCCTGAGAGACAGGAGGGATCTCAGAAGTGGGTTGCCACCAAGGGCCTTAGTCAAGGTAATTTATACAGCAAAGTTACAATGTGGGTATAAGGTGGGTCAAACTACAATCAACCTATCGGATTACAAGTATTAGCTGCTTAGCTACTATTGAGCCAATAGGGAAGTGGGTCACACAGCAAGGGTACATGGAAAAAACAAAGGCATTTGGGGGAAGGGATGGGTCTGGATGCTCTGGTCACCCACCTGGGTGACTGATACCTATCTGGACTTCCTGGACCAGGTGGTGCTGATTACAATATAATCACAAGTTATTGCTTATCTCTCAGGAAGGCATGTAGGCCTGGTCTTCCTCAGATGTGTCTCCAGCCACGATTTTAATGTCTTTTTTTTTTTTGGTGACTTTCTTGATAGCCCAATCCCTCTCTGATTGTACATTAATTTCTATCTAACTTGACTGTCTATAATATTAAGATGACCAGCATATGAAAACCTGTGAGTGGAAATAGTCACTTTCAACCAGGTGGTTATTTCTACCAATTCACCTGGGGCCAGTATCCCTTCTTCATTAGGATTCACATTGATCCTTTTGATTACTCAACCTAGTTTGGGCTCCAGGACATAATGGGACACAAGGAAATCCCCCAAAGAGGACACAGGGACCTCAACTCAGCCTGCTGAGTAAGTTCTCAACTCACATCATGGATAAAGAATTTCAGGATGGGGGCTGGGGATTTAGCTCAGTGGTTCTGCTGCCTGCCTCACAACCACAAGGTCCTGAGTTCGATCCCCAGTACCAAAAAACAAAACAAAACAAAAAAACAAAGAATTTCAGGATGGGGGCCGGGGATTTAACTCAGTGGCTCCGCACTGACCTCACAAGTGCACGGTCCTGAGTTCAGGATCCATTAGTGTGAGGCTCAGAAAGCCTTTTTGGGTTTTTTTGGGGGGAGTACCGGGGATCGAACTCGGGACCTTGCGCTTTTGAGGCAGGCACCAGAACCACTGAGCTAAATCCTTGGCCCAGAAAGCCTTATTAGACCAAGTTACAAAGTTGGACAGAGAATTCTAAGAAACTCTAGTTTGAGTAGCTGGAGGATGCAGCTACTCAGATGCAGGGAGCAGACTGGCCTACTCCAAAAACATAAGGACAGCTTTTTAAGGATTAGCTGAGGTGGGCCGGGGTGTAGTCATTCATTGTCTCAGTTCTGGCTTCCATAGCTCTGGAGGAATCCTTATAGGCTATGAGTATTGAGGGCAACTCAGTTCCCAGGTGACAGTTATCCTTGCTCAGGAAGGGGGCTGCCTCCATTCCCATCACAGGGTAATTGCCTCTGCTTGATGGGGGGAGCTGATCTCATCATGGGTTGTCTGCTAGGCTCTATTTTTCCCAGAACCCAAGGGGATTACAGATTTAAGCCAATGGCAGGAGGCTTCTAGGCATTGCTCCACAGGGTCTTGAACTGACTGGCAATTGGATGTCCCTGTAAATTCTGAAAACTACGTTAGTTACTCATCTCAATGTTCACAGTCTTGCAAGCAGATGAAATAGGTAAATTTAGGGCTAATATATTTTGCTTTGCTAACTTCCTAAATGATTAACATTCCTAGTGCAGAGCTAAGAAGGGATCTGATCCAGAGTTTTAAGGTAATAAGAGAGAAAAATTTGAGTTTCCCTGTCTCCTTTTTACCAACCTTTTTTCCTTCTATCCTACTCAACGACAGACTTACTTGTTGCATAAGGAAAGAGGAAAAGTTGGGAACCAGCCTTTACCTAAAAGGATTGATAACTGATACAAAGAACAGGATTTTGGGAACATTTACATAATTAAGTATATTAATGTCTGATTCAGTTACTGATCTGTGAACAAATGGGTAATTAAAACTGTCACACAGGAGACGAGAATGAGCATTAATGTATAACTGACTGAATTACAGCTCCTGCCATCACTTGCATCCTAATACACATAGTCTTTATCAAAAGCAGTTTTCTTCCTGGTATTCTTGTTACCCCTATGAAGGGCAGTAGAATTTTAGGTACATATTGACAAAATTTTCACACGAGATACTTAGATGAAAGTTGTAGTCTGTTTTAGAGATGACATTAAAGAATTTAGTAGTTATTGTTTTGGCAGAGGATTTTTTTGGATGATGTAGGGTTTGGGTATAGATTGTATGAATTATCATATGGCAACTAATGTATCAGTTGACTTGTGAAAACTGTTTTGGTTTGGTGGATATTGTTAGACCCAGAGAGAAAGAACCAACCAGAGACCAATATTAAATCCACACAGGAGTTTATTACCGGCCGGGACCCGAGCTGAGCATTGGACTCGAGCCCCGACTGGGGGGAGACAAACATGTTTTATACACCTTTGAGGCCAACAGTCTAGGCCCCCGCCATGGGATAGAACTCGTAAAGCAAGCAAAAGGTACAGAAGCGGAACGTCCTGCTGTTAGAACATTTGTAAAACAATAGTTGATTAATTGTTATTTCTAAAGAGACTTTCTAAGGGGAGGAGGTTTTTCCTTCTGAGTTCATCTAAAGGACAGGCAGGTGGGTCAAGCAGCAATATGGAGTCTGTCTTGCTAACTAGGGTCCTTCAGATATTAGGGATTCATGTATAGCTTCCAATTTGCATTGTAAACAGTAAACAAGAGTGGGATGAAAGCGTTACTTCATGCTGGTTTTTAAAGTGGATTCAAAGAAATGCCCACCAAAATGAGTAACTTTTTCTTTTTTCTACACAGTTTTCCTCCTGAAATGCCAAGATCTTTTCCATTCAACTCCTCAGTCGTGTACAAAAAGACTGTATTTGTAGAGTTCACAGATCACCTTTTCAACATGGCCAAGCCCAGGCCACCCTGGATGGGTAATGAAAACAATTTTGAGTGCTGATTATGACACTAGATATCTTTTTTCTTTCTTTTTTTTTTTTGCCATTTCAAATTGGCATCTTTCACTTAATAGTATGTATTTAAGGTTCCTCTATGTTGTTTTTTTAAAATTAATTTTATTGGCACATTTCAGGTATACAATATAATGACATTCATCATTGGGAATTTGCACGTTTACGTAATCTCTCCTGGTTCTTATTTTTCACCCTTCCCCTGCCCTCCCTTCAACCCCTCCATCCTTCCCTATTTACAAAGACTTTGTTTCCATTTTTTCATTTTCTCATATTAATTCCATTCCCTTCTTTCCTTTCCCCTACCCCTCCCACTTCCCCTTCCCCTTTGCCCCTTTTCTTCCTATTTTACATTAACTAGTTATTTTATTTCCTAGCAAGGATTCTTCAATCTTAGGGACTGTGGTTAGAGAGGGCAGCTGCCAAACCAAATGTTCTTTTGGCCAGGTTTCTCTTACTGCCGCCTACAGGGAAATACACTAGCCACACTTTCCGTCTCTGCTGGTTTCTGGATGTTTCTTTTCTATCTTCAATCCCAAAGCGATCCTATCCAGTTTCATAGCTTTAAAATATTATTTTATACTAATAACTCCCAAATTTGTGCCTTTTGTTTAGATCCCTCCTGAACCCTAACTGCTTACCACCAATTAAATGCCAAAGAAGCATGTAACAAGATGTTAAGATGGAATATTTTCTAGATTTCTTTTTTCCTCTTTTTTCTTCTCTCCTCCTTCCCTCCCTCCCTTCCTTCTTCCCTCCCTTCTTCCTTCCTCTCTTCCTTCCTTCTTTTTTTGTGGTGCCGGTGATCAAACCCAGGGCTTTCCTCATGCTAGGCATACATTCCCAGATCCTTTCTTAGAATTGTTGCTGAGAATTATAGGTGACAAGTATCTCCATTTTCTAAAGAGAGGTACCAGCCCATCTATTTAGGACTTTTTCAGGCTGTGGTCAAAACCTGGTTCTGCAACTTTGGGCCAAGTTATGCCTTCAGCCTGTATAAAAGAAGACTAGGAACTTATGAAAAAGTTTATATTTGAAGACTCTTTGAAGAGCATTTTTGACATGTCCCCTATCCCATGGGAAAAAGGAGGCCTCTCTCTCATGTCAGGCTATGACAATTTTTCCAGACAAAAACCAGACACTCGTCTGTGTGTCGCAAGTTCCAGAGATCCTAGGTCAACTCTTCTACTCCCAAAGCCTCCCGAAGAGTTGACCTAGGATCTCTGGAACTTGCGACACACAGACGAGTGCCTGGTTTTTGTGTGGAAAAAACTTTCCAGGTCAGAGGCTGATGGCACAGAATGGACATAGTGGGACACTGTCAGGGGTGAGGCCAGCAAGGTCATGGGATGAGACTTGTCTTAAGAAGACCTTGTTACAGAGGTCTTCCTGCCAAGGCTCCATGACCCTAAAAGAAAAGGTCTATGTGGGCTGTCCAGACAAAACGGAAACTAACAAAAGACATGCAAAGTGACCAACTAGAGCGAGCATGTCCCATGCTAACGACAGGTTCTTAAGAGGTTGCTGTTTAATATCTGAAGGTTACTGCCAAAGATTTGGGATCCATCAAAGTGTAAGAAAAGAAAATTCTACATAATTCAGTTAAAAAGAGCAGTTTAAAAGATAAAGCTATTTCCTCTCACTGAATCTAGTTCATTCAAGAAGTGATTTGTAAGCATCTTATACTCAAAGTATCCACAAATCTGAACTCTTAATTTCCCTCTTGATTTTCTGTATCACAGACTAACTGCCCAGTTTCAAAACCCAAAATTGTAGGAATCATCCTTGCTTCTTCTTTCTCCTGCCTCCAATATCCAGTCCATCATCAGTAAGTCCTAATGACTGTTACTCCAAAATAAGTCTCAAGTTGTACTTCTTTACTTCTTGTAAAATCAAAAGTTATCTAAGCTGTTGTGGCCTACAAGGTGTTCCATGTATGTTCCTGCCACTATAACATTATTTTCTGTTGCTTCTCTGCCCATTCACTTTGTTCCAGCTACATCACTCAATTATGCCAAGCTTATTCCTAACTTGGAACTTTTGTGTTTATTTTATCTGCTTTTAATGCTCTTTCACTAGATCTTAGCAAATGTTACTTGTTTTTCATTAATAAGATCCCTGTTCAAATGCTACCTCCTCAGAGAGGATCTTCTTGACCACTACATTCAAAGTATCCTCTACCTCTTGCTTTATAATTTTCTAGCACACCATCATCTTTTATCGTGGTCATAACAATTTGAAATTTTCTTTGTTACTTCTTTACATGCTTAATGTTTCTAGAATGTGATCTCCATGATATCTAGTACCTATGACAGTTCTTAGAGTAAGAACCCAAATATTAGTTGAATTAATGATGCACTGAATGAATGGCCAGAAACATTTCTCTGGAACAACCATGAGGCTGAGCTGGCAGCAAGCATAACTACTCTTTATCAATAATCATAGAGGCATACTTCTCCACTGTAACTTTGACCCTAACTTTTATAATGGGTTTTCTGGAGTACCATCCTCCAAGTGACTTTTGAAGGACATCTCATTCTTGCAGGTCTGCTGGGTCCCACCATCTGGGCTGAGGTTTATGACACAGTGGTCATTACACTTAAGAACATGGCTTCTCATCCTGTCAGTCTTCATGCTGTTGGTGTATCTTACTGGAAAGCATCTGAGGGTAAGTCAAATGCACTCTATTGTCTTGTCCTCCTGGGGATAGAAAGGTGAGATGCTTGTGCTTGAAGGTGCTAGATGTCTTAGCTCATTTTAAGTCACTGTAACAAAATACCTGAGAATGGACGTTTTATAAAGGAACAATGTTTATTTAGCTCACAGTTCTGAAGGTTCAGGACTATGGTACAAGCATTAGCTTTTGGTGAGGGCTTCATGGCAGATAGCATCACATGGTGGGGCATATCAGAGAGAGAGAGGCGCAAGAGAGTGAACCAAGAAAGCTGAACTTGATTTTTTAACATCTGTTTTCATGATAATAAATCCAGCTCTGTGATATCCAGCCCATTCCCTCAACATGAACATTAATCCTTTCCCAAGGTGGTGCTCCTGTGACCCAATTACCCCTCCCACAAGGCCCTATTCTATAATTAGGGCCTATGTGTAAATGGTTTGGTCCCCAGCCTGAGACACTATTGGGAGGTGGTGGAATTTAAGAGGTGGGGCTCAGTGGGAAGAAGTTGGGTGGCTGGGGGTGTGCCCTCAAAGGGGATATTAGAACCCACCCTGGGTATGACAGTCATGTTTTGTCGAGTTGATTGGCTTGGGAGCCACCTACTGGGTTAGTAAAACACACTTCTGGGTCTATATTTGGTCCCTGGCCCCTACCTCTCTGGAATTGTTCCCATGCTCTGCTTCCTGGCTGCTTTGAACTAAGCAGCCTTGCTCTGCCAGGCCCTTCCATCATGATGTTCCTGCCTTGGAGCCAGCTAACCATGGTCTGAATCCCTTGAAACCATGAACCAAAACAAACCCTTCTCTCTTTAAATTGTCTATCTTGTGTATTTGGCCCCGGCAATGAAAAGCTGACTGATATACTGGCCTATTCTCTCTTTCTTTGCTTGTCACTCACCACTGTAAGGTGAATAGACCTCCTCCATTACACACTCTTTCTATGATATACTGCCTTGCTACAGGCCCCAAAACAACAGGACCAAGTGAGCATGTACCGAAACCTCTGGAACCAGGAGCCAATGTGAACATTCCCTCTTTTTAAGTTAATTATCTCAGGTGTTTTGTGATGGTACCAGAAAGCTGGCTAACATACCTGTTATGTATGTATGTTTGTTTGTTTGTTTGTTTTGGGACAGGGTCTCACTATGTAATTCAGGCTGGTCTTGAACTCACTATGTGGCCCAAGATGGGCTTGAACTCACAGTGATCCTCTTGCCTCGGCCTCCCAAGTGCTGGGATTACAGGCATGCGCCACCACGCCTGGCATCTGTTATGGTTTGAACATAAATGCCCCCCAAGAGCCATGTGCTAGAGGCTTAGTTGTTAGCTGATGTGCTTTTGGGGAAGTGATTGGACTGTGAGGTTCTAACTTCATGAGTGGATGTATTCACTGATGAATTTATAATTTGTTGGCATTATTGGGAGATGATGGAGACTTAGAAGGTGGGGCCTAGTTGAGGGGAGTAGATCATGAGGGTGTGACCTTGAAGACTCTATCTTGCCCCCAGCATCTTCCCTTCTGGCTCTTTCCCCCCTCTGCTTCCTGGCTGCCATGAAGCAAGCATTTTTCTTCCACCTTGACTTTCTTCCATGATGGTTGTACCTCATCATATGTCTAAAAGAAGTGGAGCCAGCCAAATATAGACTGAAACCATGATCCAAAAGAAATCTTTTCAGGTGATTTTCTCATGGTGACAAAAGCAAAAGCGCTGACTAACACAATACCCTACCTCTTAAAGATTCCAGCACTTCTCAGTAACATTATATGGAGGATCAAGCCTCCAACACAAGAACTTTGGGGAAAAACATTATCTAAACCCTAACAATGACCTAGAATTAGATCCATTCTCTTGAATACAAACTTACTGAAGGATGATAATAATAATAACAACAATAACAGTGATTAACATATACTGAATTCAAGGTAATATAGTTAATGAGTAGTGGAATCAGAATCCAAATGTAGGCCCATTTGACTCCAAAATTTGTGCTATGAACTATTATAATATTGTGCAAAGATTCATATAAACAATGTTCAATTTTGTTCATGTAACTGGAAAGTTCCATGGATTTAGTTAGATATGACTGGATTCAGGGATTCTAATGGTGCCCTCAGCATCTCAGCTTCTTTTTGGTTTCATTCTCAGTGAGACTTTTATAATAACAGATAGCCAATGGAAGCTCAAGGCTTGCCTTGTTCTTACAAATAGTGATACCGGGGTGGGAAGGAAGCCTCTTTCCCAGTACTTCCTGATGTTTGGTATGAAAGAAAGGGAGGATCCAACATAAGTCTTGCCTAGTCCACATAGAAAAGGGTCCTGACCCACAAAAAAGAGTTTCTTTTATCAGAAGAAAGAATGGAAAGTATATCAAGCATCCACAAATACAGTCCTCTATATTCAGGTTCTGAGAAAGGCAGATTTGGGCCACTGCAGGGCCCCCACAGTAAAGGGATGTATGCAGATATTTCTTTGAAGCCTCCAGCATTCACTGTCTCTTCATGTCAGTCTTATGTGCAGAGGTGACCTGATCAGCCTGACTCACTCCAGTTATCTACCTTCATTCCCAAAGAGAATGCCTTAGGCGAGGGACCTCCTCAGTGCTCTCTTGGAAAGATCTCCATAGATTTCCAAATCTTCAAAATCTGTTTTACCTGGATCACACAGACCTCTTTGATACAAATGAACATGAACTGGAGATTGATGTGGCTGACCTACAAGGAAAAATAGGTTTCTATAAGCTAATATAGAAGCTGACAGAAAACAAACAGAGACATTATTGGGGTTGGCAGTCACATAGATGTTGTTAGGCTGGGCTTGGGGAGAGGATCAGTGAACAAGAGAAGAAAAAAAATGACCATACTCATTCTTTCTAAGTGTGTAGATTCCATTTCCAAAGATTCCCAAAACCCAGAGTACTCAGTAAACAGGAACAAGTATAAACAGCTTGATTGGCCACTGTTTACAACCATGGCTGGCCTAAGTCTCTGCCTAGCATGCCAGCCAGAAAAGAACAAAGCACCAAGATTAGCCTGAATTTTACCCTAGATGATGCCATCAGCATGTGAACAAAACATTTGTTATCATTCAAAAGTGAAAATTCCTTCAACTATTTTGAGGTTCTAACTGAACATCATGTCTGTCTTTCAAAGTTGCTAGACTATAAATATCTCAAGATAGGAACAATACCTGACTTCTTTATGGTTATTTCCCTCACACCTAACATGTAGTGGATGCTCAGTACAAGAACCAGGAAATAGCAGTCAACAGCCACTTTTTCTTTCTAAAATTACGTATGTCCCTCACCCCTTAGAATACTTCTTCTAAGTGTGCTTCAAACAGAACCTGTCACTTTTCTTCTTGTGCTTCCTTGGTCACAGCTGATTGCCTAGTTCCCTTTTTTCTTCTTTCTTTCTTTTTCTTTCTTTCTTTCTTTCTTTCTTTCTTTCTTTCCTTCCTTGCTTCCTTTCCTTTCCCTCTTTCTTTCTTTCTTTCTTCCTTTCTTTCTTTCTTTCTTTCTTTCTTTTTTCTTCCTTTCTTTCTACTGGGGATCAAACTCAGGACCTCACACTTGCCAGGCAGGCACTGTACCGCTGAGCTACATCCCTGGCCTTTTTATTTTTCTTAACGTGTCTACTACAAAATTTCAAATTGTACATGTGCTCACATTATATTTCTATTAAACAGCACTCATCTGTATGCTTCCAGTGGAATGGCATTTAGCTTATACTGAAGCTTCTGCTCCTGACCCAGTGGCTCATTTCAGGTCTGGCTAGCCAAGTTCTTTCATCCAAGGAAAACTAGGTTCAACCCTTTCTTAAGAAGGAGGTGTCTCAAGGTTTCTGGACTGAGTCACTTCCACTGGCTTCCACTGAGGGCACAGACCAACCCTCAGTCAAGAAAAGGTTGTGGAAGAAGTCAGTTCCTGAGACTGCATGGGACAAACAGAGGGTATACTATAATGGAGCATGGCCTATCATGGAATATGACCTCCTTCTTGAGTATGGCCTGGTCAAGAGATTCATTTAGATACTTAGTAGAAGACAATTTCATGACCTTGGGAACATTGCCATTGTAGTTTAAACTCTGAAGTTGAAGTAAGTCCCCTGCGGAGCCAGGCCAAGGACCTCAATCTCCTACCTTCTTTGTCTTCCTATGACTAGAAAACTTTCAATGGAGGATCAAGTGTCATGGTATGAAGATGAAATGGAATTCTCTCCTTCTTCCTTATTTTCTGACCTTTCAGGCATCCCCTCCCTCACTCCCTGATTCATAATATGGATGCTTCCTTGTGATGAGAGCCACCTAGTGGAAGCACAAGGTGATCTGGTTAAAACAAAGCCATTTGAAAAGAGTCCCCACTGCAGCTACCTTCTCCTTAGCCTTCCCCGCACAAGAGAGGATTAAAGGAGGTGCCAGAGTTAACTATAACACTGTCTAGGTCGCTTATATAAATAAAGAAGATTCAAGTAAGTCATTAACAAATTGTTCTACGTCGTATAGCCTAACTGCAGTTGCATGCTGGCTAAGTTCTCATTCTGAAATGGGAAGACCTTCAATTTTCTGGGGTTTTCTCAGGAGAGCAGATCAAACCCTAGTGTTATCAGGTTGCTTGCTTCTAAAGTGTGGCTCACCAACTAAATGTTACCAGGTTTGGGATTGCTCAACTCTCCTTCTGGAGTTGAATTCCACGTTCTTCTCATCTTGAAAAAAGAATTTGAACGGAATGAACAAAAAGTAGTGGCAAAGTTTATTATTTATTTATTTATTTAAAAAAAATTTTTTTAATTAAATTCTTTTATTGGTACATTTTAGGTACACAACA